GGTGGGCACAGCAGCCCTCAGGGTGGGCACAGCAGTCCCGGGGTGGGCACAGCAGTCCCGGGGTGGGCAGAGCAGCCCCGGGGTGGGGACAGCAGTGCCCAGGGTGGGCAGAGCAGTCCCCAGGGTGGGCACAGCAGCCCCCAAAGTGGGCACAGCAGCCCCCAGAATGGACACAGCAGCCCCCAAGGTGGGCACAGCAGTCCCGGGGTGGGGACAGCAGTGCCCAGGGTGGGCAGAGCAGCCCCGGGGTGGGGACAGCAGTGCCCAGGGTGGGCAGAGCAGCCCCCCGGGCCGGGCAGGCCCCGTCACTGGTGTTTCTTTGCCCGGAGCAGGCCGGCAGGAGCGGGGGGCAGGAAGAAGGCGGGGCAGCGCAGGCAGCGGAGCACCAGGAGCTGCGGGCCCAGCGCGTAGAGGATGTTGGAGAGGAGGAAGCTCCACAGGACGTCGTCGGGGGTCTGGTAGGGGAAGGGGGTCCGGGCGTGCAGCGACGAGCCCAGGTGGGAGAACTGAGCCTGGGGACACAGGGAAGGGGTGGCACTGGGGGAAAGGGGGAGGGTCTTGTGCAGCCCACCCGGCCCCAAAGGGTGTGTGGCGGAGGCAGCACGGGCGGCACATCCTATTATAGCCCTGCCCCAGCCTATTTCTGGCCAGCGAATCCCCGGGCCCGCTAAAATCCGCCGGGGCCAAAGCAATTACCAGGCAGCGGCAGAGCTGCTGCTCCACGTGCGGGCTCAGAGCCGAGCCCCCAAGCTCAGCCCCAACCCTCCCGCCCCTGGTTGGGACCAAAACCCAGCCCCGGGGGTCCCAGCGTTGCCCCCCCCGGGCGCCGGGACGGCCTCACCTGTGCCACGGCCCCGGCAAACACCAGGCTCCAGTCGGGCAGCCAGGAGCAGCCGGGCACCACCAGCCCGTAGATGCAGAGCAGGAAGAAGGGGAGGGCGTAGAACATGTAGATCAGCATCTGGGGAGGGACAGAGAGAAGGTCACCCCGTCCCTGGTGCCGCCGGGGGGGGGTCTCAGGCCCCAGATGGACCCTCCCTGCACTCACCTGCACTTTGGGGTAGGCGACGGGGTCGCGCAGGTACGGCTCGTGCTGGTAGATGTACTCGAAGCACGAGTCGGCAGGACAGTCCAGAACCACCTGGGGGGGGTGGAGAGAGGAGGGGAGGCGGGTGGGAGGCGGGTGAACCTTCCCCAGGACCCCCCCCCCGCCCCCCCAGCCCCCCCCAGCACTCACCATCCCCCTGAAGAAGGTGAACGAGGCCATGAGCAGCAGCACCAGCACCAGGGCCGCGTCCTGGGGCCGCCGGTACAGGGGTTTGCGCTGCTCCTCCAGCACCTGCGAGAGGGAAACGCCCCGTTTTAGGTCCTGCACCCCCTGGCCCAGCCCCAGGAGGGGCACCGGGCTCCCGGGGCGGCCCCCCCCGGAGCCCCAACTCACCTTCTCGGGGCTGAGGAGCAGCGGCTCCTTGGGCTGCTGGAACAGCCTCACCCCGGCCCAGAGCAGGAGGAGGATGTAGGGCAGGTTGAGCAGGAAGGAGGGGCTGAGCTCGGAGCTGTATTTCCCTGGGGGGAGGAGGGCGCGGGATGGACACGGAGGACGCACCGGCAACTCCCTCCTGTGCCCGCGGGGAGCAGCAAACCCGCCGGACACGGGCGGGTGGGGACAGAGCCCCGTCCTCCCCCCCCGTACCGATCATGTTCCCCAGCAGGAAGACCACGACGCTCATCAGCAGCGAGCCCAGCCAGAAGAGCCCCAGGTTCCTGTAGTTCTTCCTGCAGAGACACCGGGAACAGGCACCTCGGAGATCCCTCCTCGTGGAATTTGGGATCCTCCAACCCCCCTGGGCTCCTCTGGCACCTCCGCCGAGCTCAGAGCTCCCTCCATAGAATCTGGGATCCTCCAACCCTTGTGAGCTCCTCTGGCACCTCTACCAGACTTGGGGCTCCCTCCTTATGAAATTTGGGATCCTCCAACCCCTCAGGCACCTCTGCCAGGCTCAGAGCTCCCTCCCCACAGAATTTGGGATCCTCCAACCCCCCTGGGCTCCTCAGGCACCTCTGCCCGACTTGGGGCTCCCTCCCCATGGAATTTGGGATGCTCCAACTCCCCTGAGCTCCTCTGGCACCTCTGCCAGGCTCAGAGCTCCCTCCCCACGGAGTTTGGGATGCTCCAAGCCCCCCGAGCCCCTCCGGCCCCTGGCTCCCTGCTCACCTGTGCCCAATGGCCGCGACCATGGTGAGGTAGAGCCCGTAGTGGACGACGCCATCCCAGTAACAGATCATGATCCCATGGGCCGTGCGCAGGTAGAGCTCACCCTGCCCGTGGGGGAGGGACTGGGTCAGGCAGGGGAGGGGGCAACTGCCTTCCCACCCCCTCCCCGGGGCACCCCATGGGAGCTGGGGCTGCTCCGGGTGTGATCCTGGTGTGTGATCCTGGTGTGTGATCCCAGTGTGTGATCCCAGTGTGTGATCCCGGTGTGTGATCCCGATGTGTGATCCCGGTGTGTGATCCCAGTGTGTGATCCGGTGTGTGATCCCGATGTGTGATCCCAGTGTGTGATCCGGTGTGTGATCCCGGTGTGTGATCCTGGTGTGTGATCCTGGTGTGTGATCCCAGTGTATGATGCCAGTGTGTGATCCCAGTGTGTGATCCCAGTGTGTGATCCCGGTGTGTGATCCCCGTGTGTGATCCTGGTGTGTGATCCCGGTGTGGGATCCCGGTGTGTGATCCCGATGCGTGATCCTGGTGTGTGATCCCGATGTGTG